AATAGCGAGTATGGGGGAAATAAGCGCAGGTGTACGTTGTCCCTTAGCTGCTCTTGTTGACGATGTGCTAGTGCTTCATCGAAAATGAGATAATGAGTTTCATCTTCATCAAGTTGTGCCGGAGATAAACTCTGAAAAGGATTCCCTGTTTAATGGCACCCTTCTGAATGGTGTGATACACCAAACCACTACACAGAAGATGCCGCCAAGAAAATAGTATTTTTGCGTCCCTTTTGTCCGCACAATGGGCGATATGCTCGCTCTCCCACGGGAGCCCGCCCTTGAAATCTGGCTGTCCAGATATTGAAACCACATTCCTCGATGAAGACAGGATGACGAATAATGTGTAATAGACAATTTGGTTCGGAACGAGGACGGTCGCTACATCTGAATACCTGCAAGAAAAAACATGCTACTGGTGGAGTACGTCAACATGATGGAGAAACGTCGACCGCAGGTAATTCTAGTGTCATCAACCCAGCAAGTATAACCATTTTTCAAAAAAGCCGGTCACCTTGTGTTTGGGGCAACCACACAAATGACAATCTAAAGCAAGTTGTTTCCGCTGCCTACGAGGAGATTGTGTTTTGGCGCAATAATCTGTTCATGTTACCAAGTGGAGCTGCTGGAAAGTCTTATGTCAGAGAAGTGGGGAGACTGATCAGTGCTTGGAACAGTAACTCGGAGAACTTACACGACGTTTTCTTAAAACTCGTTATGATCATGCCTGCTCTTCTCTGGCAAAAACCAAGTTTCAAATCGAGATCCAAAGACCATGTGCCATGCTTGTCGCAGCACATGCATGGCGTTATGGGAGCAAGGGGATTTTGATGAGCTGCTTCGGGAATGCAGGACCATCCAATCAACGCTGATTGCTTCTAGGAAGGTCTCCATTGAACAACTTTCCAAGACCTTCGCTAGTCTAATCCTCCGTGATAAAGTGAATGCAGCCCTGCGTTTGTTGGATGAGCAATCTTCTGGTGGCGTTCTACCACTGAATGACGTTGTGTATAAGGACCTTCAGCAAAAACATCCAGCTGCACAACCCGAGGATTCTTCGGTCATGTTTGATGGTGAGATACCCTTTATTGATCCAGTATTGTTTGCCAACATTGATGAAACAGCCATATCGAAGGCAGCATTGAGAACGCATGGTGCTGCTGGTCCTTCTGGTCTTGATGCACTTGGCTGGCGGCATATTTTAGTGTCTCGCAATTATAGGGACGCTGGAAGTGATCTGCGATCCGCGATTGCGTTCATGGAAAGAACACTTGCAACACGGAAGGTTGATATTGAACCAGATCAGACCACAAGTTTGGAGGCGTTTTTGGCGTGTCGCCTAATACCACTGGATAAGAACCCAGGTGTTTGTCCCATCGGAATTGGTGAAGTGCTTCGTAGGATCATCGGGAAGTCAATTATCTCTGCCAATCATGCCTTAAATCATGGAAAGTGCAGGTGCGGTTCAGCTTGGGGCTGGGCAAACAGCTGGCTGTGAGGCAGCAGTTCATGCCATGTCAGAAATCTTTGCAGGAGATGAGGCGGATGCTGTGTTATTGGTGGATGCTACAACCGCATTCAACTCAATTAACTGGAGAATCATGTTGCATAACATTCAGTACATTTGCCCTGCCATGGCAATTTACACCTTCAACTGTTATGTCACAGCATCAAGATTGTTTGTCAAAGGAGGGAAAGAAATTACTTCTGAAGAAGGTACCATACAGGGTGATCCATTAGCCATGCCGCTGTATGCTGTTGCCATTACACCCTTGCTGATGTTGATTAAATCTGATGAAGCTAGTTATGTTCGACATGTTGCCTTTGCCGATGACCTTAGTGGTGGTAGACTTGCTGGTAGACTTGCTTATTTGCGTTCCTGGTGGAAGAACATTGCTATTTATGGTCCCCGTCTTGGTTACTATCCGCGTGCTGACAAATCCTGGTTGATTGTGAAGCCGCACTGGAGCAGACTGCCAAAGAGATGTTCGCTGGAACTGGTGTTCGTATAACAACTGAAGGACGTCAGTACCTTGGAGGATATCTTGGCTCTGAAGATGGGAAAGATAAGTACATTTCGTATTTAGTTAGTAAATGGTGTCAGCAACTCCACGTTTTAAGTGAAATTGCTAAATTTGAGCCTCAAGCTGCATATGCTGCATTTGTATCAGGGTTTTGGCACAGATTTACTTACCATATACGCACTGTTTCAGGTATCAAGACTGCGATGCGAGTGGAAAATGATTCCATCAGCCTGAACCGTAGTGTTTCCATCCATGAGAGGAAGTTACTGTCATTGCCGACGAGAATGGGGGGACTTGGAATACCTATCCTCTCCGACCTGTGCGATGAAGAAAATGAGAACTCAAAGACCATCTGTCAAAATCTCTCAAGCAAGATCATCCATCAGAATGATGACGCTCCAGCAAATGAAAATGGAACATCCATCTACGATTTGCGCCGTGAGATAATTAATCATCGACATGCCCAAAACAAGCTGGTGTTGCAGAACTTGAGATCAAGTATGAGTGAAGAGCAAATTCGAGCAAATGATCTAGCCCAGTTGAAGGGATCCTCAGCTTGGTTGACAGCACTGTCACTTGCAATCTATATAGTTCTATAGTTCTTTGACGCAATCTATATGCGTTATCGTTGGCCATTGAAGCGCCTTCCATCCTTCTGCGCTTGTGGAAAATCTTTCACCGTGGACCATGCCTTGTCGTGCCTGAAAGGAGGTTTTATTCATCGACGACATGACGAAATCCGTGACCGTCTCGCTTCTGCCATAGACGACGTGGCCTATGACGTTTCTACTGAACCTGCTCTTGCTCCTTTCACTGGCGAAGTACTTCCATCAAGTGCTAATTCCGCCGACGACGCCAGAGTGGACATAGCTGCGAGAGGTTTCTGGCAGAGATGTGAAAAAGCATTTTTTGATGTCAGGGTGTTTAATCCTGACGCTTCGACACATCGACGCCAGACTCTTACCAGCTCGTTTAATGGTTGCCACCCATACAAACATTGCGCGTACAACACTAAACTTTTGACAAAAAAAATCTCCCAAAAAAACAAATCTTATTAATTCAATTGTTGCAAAGCCACAATTTAGCAGAATATGTATCCAGTGTTTCATGTAACTAAACAAACTCGACAAATTTAATGTATATAAATTGCGTCGCAAATTTCGGAAAAACAGACAGTAAAAATAAATAAAAACACACTATTTTGCGACGCATTTTTCGCAAAAATGAAACAATTCCTTTGTAAACAAACAACGTCTAGACGTACCTTGACTATTGATGTGTGGCGTAGGTCATATTTGCCGATAAAAAGAGAAAAAAATATGTTACATAAAAAAATATAGGTGAAAATTTGAAAAAATCTCAGTCAAAAACATAAGGAAATCAATCATACTTACGTAAATATTCGCCATCCGTGACATCAGATTTTTCAACAAGGTTTCAGCCATTTTAAAAACATCAAAAACGCGAAAAAAGGAACGGGGAATCAAGGAACGGGGAACCAAGAACGGGGAATCAAGGAACAGGGAAATATGAACGGGGAACCGGGAATGAGAATCTCATGAGTCTTTAAAACGAGGAATGAAAATGTCCGGAATCTATAAAATACGGAATGCGAATCTCCAGAATCTTTAACACCCGGAGTGAGAATCTCCGGAATCTTTAAAGCCTGGAACGAGAATCTCCGGAATCTTTAAAATCGGGAATGAGAAACAATGTGATGGTCATGCATGTCCGTGAAAAACGTTAGATTTATCAAATCTAATATAAGTAATATTGCTATTGAGAGTAGCCTGAGTGAGGTGCTACCAGTGTAACCAGATTTAATTTATACATTTTTTCTACTGGAGCCAGTCAGGTGCCCCATCTGATTTTAATCATGACACATTTAGACCAGGAGAGTCCCTGCCACTGCTGAATTGAAATTTTCTATGCTCATCAAGTGCAATTCATACTTGTTGTACCTTAACACAATGGAGTAGATACTGAAAACCAGGGGATGTGTATATGTGCAATGTGTTTAAGTGCAACAAGTATGAACTGCACTTGATGAGCATGCCATAGAAAATTTCCAGGCAGCAGTACGTAGCTAGGGACCAATGAAATTCTGCACATGATATTGCACTGAAAGCAAAATAATCATTTCAGTATTTCGATGAAACCGGGTTCGCAATCTTTGGAACTCGACCAGTTTCGTAAGGGAGATGGATTTGGTGTGGTGTGCCTTAGGAGAGTAAAATGCCTTAAAAATATTTTTTTATATTTTCCGTATATATATTCTGCCATTCGGAAAGGTAACATTATTATTTCTATATTATGAAAAATTGATAGCTGGAGCTAGTCAAATGATGCATGGAGTAGGTGATTCCAAAATTCCAGAATTCCAGAATAAGGTTTTTTTGCAGATTGTTGATGATATCTGACATAGTGGATAGTGGATCTGCGGAGTTGCTGTACCACTTAAATATGGTTACGACATGCTCAATTTGTCCATTCTCTTTGTTTGCTTTACTTTTATTTCCACATACAACATATGTTTATGGCATATTTGTTCTCAAATATAAAATTAATACTGTTTGGTCTTTTTTTCATATCAAATAAATAATATTTATCAAAATATAATTAAGAAATTAGCTTTTTCGCGAACTTCCAATAACTGACAAAGAGGGAAAAAACGCGAGATTTGTTCTCAACTTTCATCTCTGACGAAGTATTCGCGCCTCATTTTAATTAATTACGTTTAGTTAATATTTAGACTTATAGATTTATCAATTCAACAACTTTGAAACAAATGCGGGCAAAAAGTATAAATGCAAAATAAAAGTTAGGAAGTGAATTCAGTGAAAAAGGGGACTATATGTTTTGAAATAAAAAACAAAGTTGCCTTTTGGGTTTTGTTAGAGTTCACTGTACTTATCAGACGAAGCAATATATGTGTGTTATAAGAATTTAGACCCGAATTGTAAATTGGTAATTTACCTGTGTGTCTCAGCAAATTCCGACATAGTTAACCCTTCGAAGTCGTCATTTAGGTCTCCATTATAGTTTCCACACAGTCCTTCGCTATGCCTATGCTTGTCCTCAGGACTCTTCACGTAAGAGTAAGGTTCAGGAGCCTTTATTATTATATCAAAAGACCGCCATCTTCGTTTAATAGTGACGGTGATTCCAGAAGGCATGTGCACCTTGAAATCAATTAAAAAACTATATTGGTTAAACTATACAATTTTAAGCGCACAATTTACTCACTAGTGCGTCATTGAATCTTTGTAGGTCCTGTTACACAATGCAATTTTTCTAACAACTTACACTGCCACGCATGCTGCTTTTATGGATGTAAATTAGTGAAATATCGCTTAATTTGCGTTGAAGAATATATTAACACTAAAGTCTACAGATTAAACCAAAATACCGTTTTCGGACACACGTCCGTGCTAGTATGACTGGTATTGAGCGAAGCGATAGAGCTTACTTTCGCAAGAAAAATTCACAATTGTGCACTCTAAACACCTGTTACAAAGTTATTGTTTCCGCATGCAAACATAACTGGGCACCACATAGCGCCAGCATGTGTTACATTTGACACAGCTACATACCAATACATATAGCTATTATTGCGCGTCCAATCCAGCATGTAGGGCAAACTACCATTTACCACTATGGCCATATATACCCTGATCGAATATATCTAAACTTACGATTATGTCTTCACCTATAGTAAATTTTTCTGATGTTCTTTCAACATAAAAACCATTTTTCGCCATATCTGGATGGTGTGAAAATCGTATTCTAGGCAGAGCTTGATGACGACTTGAACACAATTCCACAATTTTAAAATAATATCCTTCTTTAATAGCGACACCACAGTTGCAACAGGTATCTAATCTTGCTTGTACCTATAATAGAAGAAGGCACTTGCTTAATGATTTAATGGTCTTAATTTCGGGTGAAAGCCATGCACAACACAAATCCAAGCAAAGGTTATTTTTCCATCGACTGTTCCTGGCTTGAATTTGAAGTGTGTATAATTTCACTCGAAATTAAGACAATTTAAATATCTAGAATTTACGTGCATCCAGTGAAGTTCCACATCACTTATTCCCGGCATTACCATCATATGCACATTAACCACGCTTGCTCTTGGCAGCTAAATATGTAGCCCAGTGGCAAGAGCATTGCACCGGCATCACAAAAGCGTAGGTCGATGCCTGCTGGTAGACTGATAGGCCGGAAGACCGCTGTTCCAGGCTTGAATTTGAAGTGTGTATAATTTCACTCGTAATTAAGACCATTTGAATGTCCATATATTTGTTTAAGTTTGTAAAACATGACAGATCCGTTTTCTCAATAAACCACCTTTTGCTCACTAATTGTCACCTCAGGACCGGTGAATACTTTTGAGACTTCGTTTCAGTTTTTATTCAGCGATATATTCACCTCGCCTTCGGCGAATAATTGTTAAATATATTCTAACAGTCACAAATTTACCATAAATATGACGCTATTACCGTTTGTATTAATAGCAATGGCGATCTAATATGGTGATTTTATGACCGATTCACGGATTTTACTTAAAACAAGACTTTATTTCGGTTATGTTTCCTTAAAGAAAAATGGAAAAGTTCAAAAAATTCTATTATATTATATATTTTAAAAAATTATATTATATTATAAATTAATTAATTAATATATTTGGCGTAACCAAACTTGTTTTCAAGTAGAATTTCAACCATATTGAATCGCCATTTTTACCATAACATCGGTAATGACGTCATTATTATTATGATGCTCTAAAGAATGTGAATATTATTAACTTTCAAGACTATGTATAATAAAAAGATAAAAGAATGTTGTTACGTTCGCCAATGAGAACGAACAAAAAATGAGAATAGGTGGGGCATTTTTAAACTTTTAGTGAACTATAGTAGTTTAAACTTAACAAAGAAGATCAATATTATCCTACTTCTTAATAATAACTTATCTGGTCTGAGTAATACGTATATTTCGATAGGTTCACTGATAACATAAAAAGCGAAGAGCTTTGTAGTTGGAAACCTATGTTGATGTCGTCAGCTTAAATTAACATCGTCATGTGTATAATGGCTATATTGATTTAGCCTTCTTGTTTCTCTTTAGTATTTCTTTTCACAGTGATGTGATTTAGCCTTCTTACTTCTCTTAATTTTGGGTCGGTTTAAAAGGCCCTGGGATCGGCCAGCCGGTTCTGACTTCTGATTAGTTGAATGATTTTTTCCCTAATTTATATGTAATTGGCGTAATATTCTGTAATTTTTACGAAACAGTACAATTCCAGTATGCGTTAATTAGACAATATAATCCGTTCTACCTGACGCCGCCATTTTAAAAATATTACGCAAAATTTTATAATAAATAATGCTTATTAAAAATGCCCACCAAATTTAGGTATTTTAAACGGCCGATCCCAGGGCCTTCTTTCCTCTAGCCCCAGCCCCAACCCCCCATTATAAAGTCCCAAATTGCTCTAGGGACGAGGTAGCGGTTATGTTATTCCGCTAATGCCTTATGAATAATGCCTCCATCGTCTAGTTGCATGTGCTAGGACTTTTATACTCTTGGTAGAAGAAGAAACTATAACACTATGGCATATTTCCCCTAATCAAGTTACAGCGTGATGAAGCGAGTAAACCACAACGAATCGGTTCGCCCCAAACCAAGCTATGTACGTTACATTGTTTGTTTGCAGAACGAGGTTCTCCGCAACTACTTCCTTGAGTACTCGTGCATGTAGGTTGACTAAGGTTACCATATATTTTTACATGATTATTGAGTATCATGTAACAAATTGTTAAGTAACTTTTATTTTCTATTTACGCGAGGTAGGAGATCTTTTACAAGGGTTTACTAAAGTTCAATAATGTTCTCTTCTTTCTCCGTTCTTCTCTTCTCTACTTCTCGATCTTCGTCGTTTTGCGTTCTTGTCTTTGGTCGTCTGTTCCGTCAGGTTGAGCTTCTTAACGTTTCACATGCTTTTTACTCCGCTAGTCCACTGAAGGTTGGGCTGTTGTGCACGCCCTTTTATAGTAACGGTTGAGGGTAACTTGCAGACGTCATCAACCAGAGTGGGGTGATTCTTATCCAACAAATCAGCGTTGTAAGTTAGAAATGTGGGTTGGTCTTAGAAGCTCGTTCCAGCTCTCATATCTTGTTTGTTTAAGGCGTTGTCGCACTAGTCGAGTTGGTCTTCTGCTCAATCGATCAATACTTAAAAATGTTCACAACTTAAAATGTTTATCATCAACAACTAGTAAATAATACCAACAATATGTCTGTGAACAATATCTTTCAACTTAAACTATTTTCACTCTTATTTTATCGAATTGAACTTTTGATGACGTAATCTATTACATGCTTGACCGAGCAACATTTTTAACACAATTGATTGACATAAGAACTTGAATGGCCTACAGCACGCACACTTTTTTAAAGAATGCGACCATTAAGATAAGTGACGACTTACGACTGTTTATCCAGGTATTAGTTCTGAGAGGATTATAAATATTTTCACCTTATTACTTATTTAATCCTACGATATGTCATACATGAAAGGGAAAGGCGATTAATGTTTGCTAACGGCCGAAAATTATATTTACTCAGGCGTCTTGTGGCAAAAATCATTCACTAATCCCTGTCATGCTCTTGATATTTCTATTTTTGCAGCTATTTTTATATGCATATCTCTAAACACAATAAAGCTTTGCGTAACAAAATATAAAAAAGAACTGAAAGATGTAAAGGGATTAAAAATACTACTAGTAGTTTCGCCCTTCGGAACTTTTCAACAAATCACCATGTTCTTAATGATAATGAAATATTCAAAACTTCATAATAATATTCACTTCCTTTTCAAGACACATAAAACTTTATGTATTATTAGTATCAATCTGCCGTTACTACAGCACGTACGCGGAATTTTCATGTAATTCCATTCGTTCTTTGTGTTTATTAGTTGGCTTATTTTTCTCTATTCTATTGATGTGTACCGCTTCCGTGATCTGTCTCAGAATCGCATCATCACGAAATATGCCGATAACGTTCATGACAACGGGTGGTACAACATCTTCATGCTTCTCTTTCGCATTACAGACTGTTCTTCCCGACGATTCACGAATGTAAATGTTCACCACGAGTATATGAAATATGACACTGTCGTACCCTCTCTTCTCATACCAAGTATTTCGTTTCTTGCGCTTTCTTTCGGCTGAATCAACTTGTCACCACTCTCCAGTTCTGTGCATGGGCTTCTTCCCACAGGCGTCTAACTTCTTGATGTTATCATATGCTGTTAAGACCGACTACACTATATTTCCATTCTAAATTTCAAGACATTAATTACCATAATGCCAGTATTTCGAAATAAAAGACGGCTGCCTTGTTGTTATAATAGAATTATACTAGGAATACATGCATGCAGCAACCCATTTCAACCGAAGCATGTTGTTTTTCGATGTTGTTTTTCGATTATTCAAATCATGCAGTGATTAGTCGACTCTATGAAAGCTTCAAAGTGATATTTCTTATATTAAAACTACGAGCTTTATATATTTTAGTTCTTTTTTATATTGTTTTATCTTTTTATTATAGTAAGTAATATAGTAAGTATAGAAAGTAATAATATATAAATCGTAATGGTTCAAAGGGTCTTAATATCGAGTGCAATTATACATACTTCAAATTCAAGCCAGGAACAGTTGATGGAAAAATGAGTCAACTATCGGTCCTCCGACAGGAATCGAACCTACGCTTTTGCGATGCCGGTGCAATGCTCCTGCCACATTCTTTCGACTGCAGCGATAAATATATCTAGACGTCATGTTGATAAAAATTTTAGCTGCTAGAATGTTTGTTAAAAAACAGGGAAACTTCTTTTTCTTTTACAAGAAATCTCTTGCCAAAATTTTAAATCTACATCACGACATTTGCATGCATGTTTTTAGAATTATACGGAGCCACCCTAAGCCCTTTATAAACGTATCCTACATCGAGAGATGATAAGTGCGTGTTTAAAAAAAACTTCATTAAAAAAACAAACATTGAAATTTTACCACAAAACACAAAAAAACTATTATTAAGCTGACGTGCACTATTATACAGCAATTAGGTACATATAGTACCCTGATTCTGTGGGACAATGTCGAGGGGATAGCGCAGGAAATGAATCAATTCACAAAACGCCCATGATATATGGGTTGCTGTAAAGACTGCATGTCCATGGGATGAATTTTCTTTAACTAATTAAGTTTACCACCTTAACAGAAAGTATGCCGCGCCTGTATAAGGCCGTCATCAATGGCAAAGGAGAGACAATAGAATATTAATAGTTCATTTTTATAGCTTAGCATGTAACCTAGTCTATATATGTTTACTCATATATGTGGTATAGACAGTTACGTTCATTTGAGACCATTCTAACTTTTTTTGAGCAGTTCTTTTTGACCGCGACCGACAGTGTACCATAATGCAATTAGTTATTTTTGCCGTCTTTATTACCCCGGCGTCAGCGACAGAGTTGAAAATTCGCCTCAGTTTTGTTTCTTTTTTTATTATTACTTCGGCGTCAGCGACGGAATTGAAAATTCGCCTTGAAAATTTTTGGGTTTTTTATTTTCATTAGTTTTTTATTATTTTTCGTCGTCGCAAGTATGTGTTGGCGCGAAATATACTAGTATTTGAAAAGGTGTACGTGACCCTATTTATCTACGTCACAGTTTTGTCTCCCAAGAGTTGTGGTGCACAGCTTGAAATTTAATTTTCCGATGCGCGATTTGATATCGCTCGCAAGATACGGAAATTCCTCCAAGAGGAACAAATAAACCGTTCTTTTGATGCTGTTCGATTAATAAGGTGGTCTTATACC